TCTCTCCTGTGTGTGAACACGTCTCTCCTGTGTGGGAACACTTCTTTCTTTTCTTCTTAAGCGACAGCTTTGTTCAGATATCACTTAGATACCATATAATTCACTCTCTTAAAGTGTACAACTTAATGGCTTTTAGTATATTAACAGTGTTATGCAACTATCACCTCATCTATTCAGTACATTTTCAGCGTTCCTTATTTCTCTTCCTGCCTGGACCTTGAGAACCACTGGGCCTAGTGATCGGTCTGTTCTGGACGTCGTCTTAACATGTCATTATGTGAATCAATCACATTTTATTTATGAATGTATCAGTTGATGGCCATTTGGGTTGTTTCTGTTTTTTGGCTATTATGACTAAGGCTGCTATGAACATTTATATACAAGTTTTTATGTGTATGTATGATTTTTGTTTTCTTGGTGTATGTACCCAAGCAGAATTTCTGGGTTACATAGTTTGAGCATTTCATACAATCCTGATCTGGTTATTGTAAGGATGTCACATGAACTAGAATAAACTCTATCATGGAATTGCAATGGATAGAGCATCGAATTAATATTTGAATATTAGAGGGAGATAAATTTCCACTCACTCTAAGAAGTATAGCTGAACAAGGATGGGCTGGATAGATTTGGAAATTATGAGTTTTCCTCCTTGGAGGTATTAACAAGGATTGGAGATGTTATTAAGGAGATTTAAGCATGGGTGGTTGCTTGGATTAGTAAAATTTCAGATTAATTTATTTCTTGTGTGAAAAGATATTATATATTCTAGGCATTGTGCTGAGTTTTCGTAATGGACAAACCTGTCCCCAGGGACGTCAAAATCGAGATATATTTTTAATATTTCATGATTTGAGAGTGTGTGGTAAGAAAGAGAATCTAAGAAGCCAGGCAACATACTTTTTAAGGTTTGCTTGGATTCTCCCATTTTGAGACAGAACAAAATTTATTATAATTATTTGCTGCATTATTTTCTTCTGGACCTTTTGCTTCTGTAAAAAAGTACCTTTGTTAACTAAAAAATGAGTAATACATTATTAATATGTAGGAACTTACGCTCACTTAGTTTTGGTAACAATTTGAATTAAATTGAGGTCTTGAAGTGATTTCCATTTGAGAGTCGTTCAATCCTGGTAACTTTCTTTAATTTCCTCCTATGTAACCCAGGAAATTATGCCACATTTGGCATGACCCCAAACCTATTTGAATTTCATCATCTGAGCTAGTAGGTACTGCTTGTAGATTCATAACAGGCAAACATTTCTATGGCATTTAAATGCAATTTTTGAATTTTCTTCTGTGAGATTAATTTGCTGATCAGATTCTTTAACTTTTGTGTTAGCAACGATGAAAAATAGTAGAAAGTATTTGGGAAACCAAACCCATACAAATGTTTCCTCTGAGTTATTATCAGTGAGCCTTGGGATTAAGTATTTTCATGGCATTTGAAGCGTATCTCCATAATACCATGTGTGAGATTGTTTCAGTTTATAATTAAAAGCTGTCAGCAAATTATTAATTATCATTAAGCAAATCATTTTTAGTGCTAATATAATGGCTGTGGAATGATAACTTAGAGTTAGTTTTATTAATATTTCTTGGATGGCCAGGATTAGTATTTTTCCCGATGTTTGTTTTTTAATTGTATTTTTAAAATTTCATTTGAAAGGTTCTTTAAAATACAGAAATATTACCTGTATAAATTTTGTTCTGTTTCTCTGTGTGTGTGTGTGTGTGTATGCGACAGAGAGAGAGAGACAAGCAAAGAATTAGCAGAGCTAGACCAATAGTCCCTGACCAACTCCCTAGGGAGATCCATTCTGCTTAAAGACCATTAAAAAACCAGCTGTTCATAGAGTAGCTTTAGCTCTTACTTGAGGAATGCCAATACCAAGTAGAAACTAGTTGTTTTAATGCCTTTTAAAAAAATTTCAAATTAATGTGAGGATACAAATGATTAGTTTGTGTTTGTTAGGTAAAAGTTCAAGTTGTGGTTGAGCCCTTGACCCAGGGAGTGTGCTGTATACCCTGACATTGTGCCCATTAGTTGAGAGCTTACCAATCCCCCCCTCTCTCCCCTTTCCTCTTTCTCTCCATCTCATCTCTTCCTCTCACTTGAATTTAGTTTTGTTTTCCTTTCTTAGGGAGGTGTAGTTGTTTATCTGTTGGTTTCTATTAGTATTGAGTATATTGCAATACTCCGTACATTGTAGTACTATGTACATTAGGCTGGTGCAGTGGCTCACACCTGTAATCCTAGCACTCTGGGAGGCCAGGGCTGGTGGATCGCCTGAGTTCAGGAGTTCGAGACCAGCCTGAGCTGAGTGAGAGTCAGACCCTGTCTGTACTAAAAATAGGAAACTAGCGGTGTGTTGTGGCAGGTGTCTGTAATCCCAGCTACAGGGGAAATTGAGGCAAAAGGATCACTTGAGCCCAAGAGTTTGAGGTTGCTGTGAGATATGACACCACTGTACTCTACCCAGGGTGACAGAGTGAGACTCTGTCTCAAAAAAAGGAAAAGTTTTGCATACATTGATTGGATGCTTGCTTTTCCATTGCTGTGATACTTCACTAAGAAGTTTAATGCCTTTCTTGATGTCTCTTTCAAACTTCCAAAGTTAAATGCACTAATCATATTTTCTAATAAGATTATAGTCTCTTCATCAATGGTACTAATCACCTCTTTTCAAGCAGGTTAACAATTCATTTGGTACAGGTAGATTTTTTTGCAATTACTAAATTACGTCGTAGAGTCAGAGTGAGCAGAGGTGGATACACAGCTCTGCTTACTTCATGACCTTGACCACCTTAGCCTTCCATCCTTGACTATGAGTTACTGAATGCTTTAGTAGTAACATTATTCTTGCAAGAGCAATATGAGAATTAAGTAAGATGTACAAGGAAGCTCCTAGCACATGGCTTGGCTTACTGGCCACCCCATAAGTGGTCAGATCTGGCTATTTCCAAGGAGCTCCAGGAGCCATGTGAGATTCCAGTTGGGCAAGTAACCACACGCACTTGCGTGTAAAATTCCACAGGAGAGAAGTATCTTTTCCTTACCCATCACTAGGTTTATGGCTGAGGCCCCCATAATGAAAGATAGATTTATAAGAGAAAAGCATCCAGATTTGTTTAACAAGTTTCACATGAGACAGAGGAGCCTTCGTAAGCCAGCAAAGACCCAGAGAAACAGGGATATCTGTATTTTTTAGGCTAGGCTTGATGACGAGTGGATAGTCACAGAGAAATACGGTTGGAGGACAGAAGGGTTTGATCTGCTGGTGATAAACTGGGGAGAACTTAGCAAGGCCTATTTGTTCAGATTTTTCTTGGCGTCTCTGTGTCTTGGGCTCCTTCCTGGATACAGGGAGGGCACCTCTCACCCGAGGGTCTCTTGAATGAAGGTCTTATGACCTGCCCTGGGAGGCAGATCAGAAAATCCTTCCGAGGTTTTGCAACCTACTTTAGGAGAGAAGAGCTCTGGGAAGGTCAGAGACAACTTT